CTCTTTGCTCAGTTGTGGCTATGGTCTGTGTCGGTAGTGGTTTATCAGTTCTTCAATTTATAAAAAAGTTTATGATTTTTAAACATTTAGGCCCCAATCATCGCTGAAGAGACATTACATTAGCCTACATTAATTGCTTCATTTTCACACATGAATGTTTTTGAAAATATTGTTTTTTGTTATGTATTTTCAAATCTTAAACGGTCTGAAAATTTTGTGATGGTAGGTGTAAATTGCATTGGCTCGAATGAACATAATTGAAGTTTTCAACTCGTCAGGAGTTAATGGCTTATAATTTAGTACGTTAAACGCGCATTTCATCTACATAAGACTTAGTATCAAAGCTAGATTCAAAACAGTTGGAAGTCTTAGTTAAATACTATATATATTGAAAAGCATTAAAAAACGAAAATTTAGAACAATTGTGCCAAGAAAAATATTTTTTACCAAATATATATTGATACGTAACATCTTTTAATTTGACAAAAATCTTAATATTCTGTTTTACTACCTTCTTTTAGTATAGAAGGGCTAATTATAATTGGTATATTATAACGGGTTTTGACGTATGATGGTTAACGCAAACATAAATGGGTTATAATTAACATCCTAAATCGGATGGAATTACGTTCTAACGGATAGCTGTATAGTGGACAAGAGTACATCAATATCCATCTTTCACATTCATGGCTATGACAATGATTCATACATACGGTGAAACCAAAATACCTTGGCCCTAGCCTACTACTTACTGTTGTCTGAAATCAATCATTAATGATTGCACACGTGTAAACCAAACATTGTCTGATTTGAAGAAAATCTTGAGTTCTTATAGGTTTTAGACTGATGAGGTTTAACAAGTTTTAGTGTATACACATATTTGAAATACTTAACGACCAACCAGGATTATTTTGTTTAAAACACCACACAGAAATACTATAGAATATGAAAAATATTATAAGGACTCTGAGGAATCATTGACATTCACATAACCTCAACTATCAAAAGTATAAGGTATCTTGTATCAAAGAATACAATCTAAATTAATTTTTTTTGAACAATCACATTTACATGTTACCCATCCACAAAAATGTGTACCCACGAAAATAAATGAAACCACAATATCAGAACTAAACAGTTTCGGCCATTATTTGTCTAGTAAACCCCCTATACATGAGATCAAAGGTATATAATGAGACTAAATGGCATGATCATGATGTTAAACCCTCATCTGTAACTTTGTATCACTATGTAGCATTAATCACATCATCGGAAAAATTTTAAGAATATGATTTCATATAAATTCATATAAAAATGCTGAGATGAATTCTTTTAAAAAAATATCACACTTATCAGTTTCCCAATATATGCATCTTATTTTATATGAAACATTTACACGTTCATAGTCATCATTCATCAAACAGTATATTTTATAAAAAAAAATTAAGAAAACGAAAAAAAGAACACAAAAAACAGAGTACAAAAAACAGAACACAAAAAACACACACACATTTTGAACTAAATTTCATGTTAAATTACCCATACATGTTCTGAAATGAATGAGTCGTACTGAAGACAATTCTGTTTGCACATGTAACTGTGCAACTAACATTGAGTATCTCAAATTACAAAAAAATCAATTAAATGATAATGAAAATAAAAAAATAAAAAAATTTAAAAACATCAAATCCTATGAAATCATAGAACTTCATATGAAACGTTAAAATGAACCATGTACAATAGCGTTTATAACTATTTCTTATCACTGAAATAACCAAATAAGGAATCTTATATTTAACATGTTTAAATGACACTTTTACTAGTAAGGAACCTCTAGCCTTTGTAAGTCTCTTGGGTTTTAAAAAAAACTTTTGATTCCTTTGTATGTTTTTGATTTTATTGTGGCGTCCACTATGCTGAACTATTTTACTTTATTGTTTAGGGGCAAGCTGAATCCCACCTCCGGGTGCGGGATGTTATCACTGCGTTGAAGACCCATTGGTGGTCTAGGGCTGTTTTTGCTCTTTGGTTAGTTGTTGTCTCTTTGACACATTCCCCGTTGTCATTCTCTATTCTACTAGTTAAATTTATATTAGTAAAGAATTGTTCACTTCTACCATGTCTTCAGTGTCGTCTTGTTTTTTCTCCTTTGTTTCTAAAATAAAAACAATTTTCAATTTATATCCAGGTTTTACCGAATCAAGAGGATTTGTGGGGGTAGAACCACAAATAGTTTCCTTCTGATCGTAAAATTTACGAATACTTTCTTCTTATAATTTCTCGATCTGCACCCAACGTTTGTGATACAAAACAAACAGTTTAAAATATCTGGACTTTCAATACAAGAAAAACCCAGAATGCCTGTCAAAGTGTGAAAGTCAATTACATATAGATTTTATATTTCTGTTAAAGCACAAGCTGTATATATCATCCGTTCATCCTATTTCGAGTCTTCAAAATTCAAGAGTCTATCCTAAATTGTGGTAAATTATATGGCCTTCCACATACCGTTTTGATTCCTAACATCACCGAAGAGACATTAATTGTCCAAATCCGGATATGGTGTACTAATGTTTGCACCTTTTGATTGCGGTATACCATCTTTTCTGCAAGTTTATTGTTTTCTGTTTGGTATTAAATTAGTAGTTAATATCCATTTTGTTACATCTAGTGATCTGTTTATTTGGCAATCGCCAATGGCAGTCAGCAGGGTTTAAGAACATCCGTTGTTCGACCTGCTAGTCAAATGCGTTTTGTTAAAATATACTTTTTCACTTTTTTGGTCTTTTGGAAAATGTTGTTTGTGCTGTATTTAGACCCCTCTACCAGGAAATTTGTTTTGCATGCACACGTATACAAATTGCGATGTTTTAAAAATAAAGTTTGTTATCAATTTTGATACATTGAAAATAAAATTTAGAACATTTCTTAAAATGTGTATAACCGATATGTTGTTTTTTTACCCTTTTGCGTCTCTTCCATTATTTTTTTTTTATAAACCGGTAATAGTTGTAGACATATTTATCCAAATAAAAAAATAGTTGTAGAAATACGTAGACACATACCTATTGTTCTAGACATACGTGGACATATACATATTAACCAATGTTTGTAGATTACACATACTTAGACTTATAAATATAAACCAATGTTTGTAGATATACGTAGACATATACATATAAAATAATGTTTGTAGATTACACATACTTAGACATATAAATATCAACCAATGTTTGTAGACATACGTAGACATATACATATTGATAAATGTTTGTAGATATGTATGCATATACTTATAAATCAATGTTTTAAGACATATGTAGACAAATACAAATAAACTAATGTCTATAGACATACGTGTACGTATACATATACATATAAACAAATGTTTATAGATATACGAAGACATATTCGAATAAACCCATAGTTGTAGACATGCATTATATGTAGACATATGTATGCAAAGAACTTTTTGTAGACACACGTGACATACACATATAAAATAATGTTTGTAGACATACGTAGACATATACATATAAAATAATGTTGTTTTTAGATTACACATACGTAGACATATAAATATAGACCAATATTTGTAGACACATGTAGACATATACAAATAATAGACATATGTATGCACATACTTAGACTTATAGATATAAACCAATGTTTGTAAACATACGTAGACATATCCATACAAACCAATGTTTGAAGACATACGTAGACATGTACATATAAACCAATGTTTTAGACATACGTAGACATATACATATCAACCACTGTTTGTAGACATACGTAGAAATATACATGTAACATGTATAAACCAATGTTTGTAGACATATTCATATAAACCTCAGGTTTATGTTTATAGACATACATAGATCTATACATATAAACCAGATACCAGCAGATTGAAACTGTACATTGAAGTATTCAATGCCGATACCCCGCAACACATCAGTGTTGACAATTCCCAGTATTCTCATTCTTTCTGTACCTCTCATCATGCTACGAAAATCTAATTTGTGATCATCATGATCTTCAACATGTTCAATTTTTCTATTTAACCTCTCTTCGTTATCAGTAACCTGAAACTTCCGAAATACATGAGCCATTTTGTGATAGCCTTTTTGTATACGTTTTAAACATTCTTGATTGAATTAAGGATGTTTGCTCGTCTTGTTTTTTACTTTTTGTCAGATATTTGGAATCCACTGGCTTTATCTATGTAGTGTCATTATATTTTTTTTTAATAATGGACAAGAAAAGTGATAAAATTATGTAACGAAAAGTAGGGCTTTTCTTGTCATAATTATATAACATATAGTTATAGTTTAAAAATCTATATCTGAAAAGCTCATAAAATCCTTGTTATTTTTCATAGTTTTTGAAAGAATAAAGGTGCAAATGTTAAGTGTAAGAAAAATCTGGAGAGAACCATTTCCCACCAGATTTTCAATGGCTTATATCACAAAAACAAGCACACGGACCCTTTATTTTTTTCTGCTTTTTTAGTTTCGTTAATTATATATACTAATACTATAAATTTAAATCAGTCTTTTAAAAAGGTTGTTTTTTTTCAAACAGAGTAGCAAACATCTAAAAGTATGTATTAATATTTTTGGACGACAAGATGTATATAGTAGAATAAACTGATAAAATCTTCAAATCACAAATCACATATCAACTGTTGGTTAAAGATTTGTATGCGTATGTATTTGTTTGAAACCATTAAAGTTTCAATGTACTAATAATATTAGAATGGAAGCAAAGTGGGAAACGCATTTCTATAACAGATATTGCATGAAATATTTTGATGTAAACGTAGTCAAAACGGCCTAAATGTTATTTGTGTTTAGAACATGATTAAAAGAATAACAGATTGTAGACTAATTTTCCATAGGAAGTTGTTCATGTAACACAACGATACAAAAAGGTCAATAGGCGGAAATAAAACAATACACAATTTATTTATAAACAAACGACAAAAACTAAATTTTCCAATTCACCATAATCTACTTTTGTATTATGAAAAATCTGTTAAGTAGAACAGTCATTGTGGAAAAAATACACAGAAAACTAAATGGTAAAGTACATAAAATACTAGTAATATAGAATATTGTTTATCAGACAAATTTGATTATGATTTTTGTTGTTTTCCCCATTTATTTTACGTACTTGCATGAGGTTGATGTTTTATGGTCTGAGGAGGTTAACTTATACCTGTTTTTTTATATTTTTGTTAATATTTTGACGATTGAGTAATCTAGCAAAAGATTGTAATAAGATAAACATTTGAAATTTCTAGAAAAGTAAACTAATCTTGAATTTTCTTATATTGTCTTAAACATCTTTCCTTCAAAATGTTGAATTTAAAACGCAATACACATCATCTGTGATACCTGATCTGATATCTTTTGCACTTGGCTGCTTAAGCATTGCATACAAAGTATAATAAGGTATTATGCCGAGGAACAAACACGAGGGCAATGAATCGATATCAGATGCAAGATAAACATGAAAATTCTCTTCTGTTTTGGAATATAAAATAACTTAAATGAAATAGCACTTACAAGATATCGACACTTATTCTTGGTTTCCTTTTTGCAGACAAAAGTGTTTCAGGAAAGTGTTTCAAAATGTCATCAATTTTAGCTATGCTGGTGATAACTGTTTATATAGAAATGGTACCAGGTATATATAACAATAGGACAACATAAACAAAATACCAGCGAATGACAAATATCAAAATAAACAATATACGAGAAAACAGAAAATTTAATGGGTGATATTGGCCTTTGTTAAAGCGTCTCATGACTGAACATCACTATTTGCCTCTCGCCATCTGGATTTGGCAACTCCAACTTTCATATTTAATTATTCAATTTCTGTCTGGCCTGCGGTTCACAAAAACATTTTACGTCTAAAGTTGATTGTAAGTCATGAACAACTTAGTAAACTCACCATAATTTGTTGTCGTAATTTTATTTTGAAACGCAGGCCTGTTTTATGATGGCATGCATCATATTATCAAATACAATGATTACTTATGGTGATTATCTACGGGATAAATTGAAAAACAATTTTGTTTCAGCCAATATCCTTTCAGATATATAAATACTAATAATGAATGGCTAATCATAGACAAGAATTCACTACACTCTATATACATTAAGATCACAAACAGAATAAAATAATTATACAAATTGCATGGAATCGATCAAAGACAATATACAGATGGAATACATACAGCATCATAGCAAAACAAAAACCCCAATTTAAAATAAACCAAAAACATAAGTTTTCAGACCACTTGACATATAACTAAAGATTGAGCAAAAGTATATAAATAGACGCAACTGGTGAGGAAATTTGATCTTCCGGTAGAAACAGCCGATTTTCTTCGACGTGTTGCTAATTTGACGTCCAAATTTGGCGATTACCCTCATCTGCTTTGTCCTAAATGAGATTGTTACTTACATAAGAAGGACATATCGTTTTTCGTATGTGGCAGAAATATTTTAAAACAGTCAATCAAATAAACTCATCATAGATACCTGGATTACAATTGTATAAGCCAGAAGCACATATCGTCCACAAAAGACTCATCAGTGACGCTCTAATAAAAAAAGAGTTTAATGAGTTGTCAATGAGTGTGTTGCTTTGAAAGACTGTGAAAATAGGATACTCGTATATTTGTATTATGACGTATATTCCTCTATTTTCAATATTAGAAGTTTATGTAAACGCACAAATACTATTATTCAAAAAGTCGCCAATTAATTATACAAAAGAAACACTAGGGTTTTTGAAAAAAGCAGATATAAGTCAATGCCTTACCAAAGAAGATATTTACCCTGATTAAAACCTTTGTAAAATATATCTTGTAGTGAAATAGGTTTTTGGATAAAACTTTAATTCATATCTAAATATCAATTAAAAATTCTCCAAATGAGGCTTTTTGCAGTTTTTTTTTCAGAACAGCAGTAAATGCAAGACGTTTAAAGTCCTAATGTCAGTATTTAGACAATTAAAATTTATTGATATGGATGACTAACAGACAAAACCTTTTTGAATATTATAAGGATGGAAGGTGGTGTATTTAAAATATTTTTTTATTCTTGAATTCAAAAAGAGGCGTTGTCATACTTTTTCTCTTTGTGTTTTTTTTTTCATTGGAGTATTCCCCACATTGTTTTTATTATATCATTTTAATACTGCCAGTATTGAAAATGATATTCACTCGTATTCTGTGAACAAACGCGGTAACATATTGAACGTAAGATAGCCCTTGAATACTTTCGAGAAATGTTTTTATGGAGAAATAATTATCAAAGGTACCAGGTTTATAATTTGATACTCCAGACGCGCGTTTCGACTACATAAGACTCATCAGTGACGCTCAGATCAAAATTGTTAGAAAGTCTAAAACAAGTACAAAGTTGAAGAGCATTGAGGACACAAAATTCCAAAAAGTTGTGCCACATACGGCTAAGGTAATATATGCCTGGGATAAGAAAATCCTTAGCATTTCGAATAATTCATACTTTTGCAAACAGTAAATTTATAAAAATGACCATAAAATTGATATTCATGTCAACACCGAAGTGCTGACTACTGGGCTGGTGATCCATTTAAAACATTTCAAATCATGCATGCACTATAATTTATATTCTGATATTCTTTAATCTTAGGATTTCAGGATAATATAGTCACAGTCGGAGTTAAAAGAGGAGAAAAAGTTGTTTTAAAATGTTCAAGCTGCGGATCTGGAGGGACTTGGTTAGGTCCGAAAGTCAACAAAGCAAACGGAACAACTTTGACTTATTTTACAAATTATCGTAAAAACCCGATATTGAACCAGTCAAAGTATTTTGTGCAGGCAAATGAAGGAAACTATGACTTGAATATTCTAAATTTTCAAAAAGAAGACACTGGTGTTTATATATGCAGATTTCTCAATAACGGGACATTTAATGAAAATAAGTATAACGTTTTATTACTAGGTATGTATACCATATCAAGTCGTTAATCAATTTGACGATGCTTCATCAATGTTTTATAGCATGTAACATTATAACATGTGAATCTGGTAACTGCATATTTATTTATAGAGATGATAAGATCAGGGACGACTGCATGAACTTTTTTGAAAAAAATATCTAACATACTGAAGAATAGATAAGTAATGTTTTTAGTTTTGCAAAGATTTAGCTTTCAACTTGGACATGTTGGAAATGAAGAAAATGAATCAAAAATTGAAAATGAAGTATGCTTTTAAATTACAGTATTTATTATCGTGTAGTTCTTGACTAAATGTAATATCTGCGACACAGTGTATGATCGAAAAATTATAGACAAGTTTTCTGTAGCTGAAAAAGTTATTTGTCATATATCTTTTTTAATTTTCTTTTTCAAAATTTCGCAAACATTATTTCTTAGAGATAAAATATGACCGTGAGAAAAAACACTCGACTATTCTTTAACTGGACAAAGTAAAATCACAAAAATACCGAATACCGAAGAAAATTCAAAACGGGAAGTCCCTAATCAAATGGCAAAAAAAAAGCTCAAACACATCAAACGTATGGATAACAACTGTCATATTCCTGACTTGGGACAGGCATTTTTTATGTGGGAATGGTGAATTAAATTTGGTTTTATAGCAAGCTAAACTACTAACTTGTATGAAAATATGCATAACTTTCCATTATTTTGACGATGTGTGAACAAAACAAACAGACATAATAGGTAAAAATGTCAAAAATAGGGGTACAGCAGTCAACATTGTGTTATAATCTTAATCGATATAAAAACAAAGAAATATGTAAACAAAGGAAAACAAAAATGCATATAGACAAAGCACATTAGGATGTATAAGTACTAAGCAACGTCATGTTTAAGTTACAACGATAGACTAAACAGTAAAAGTAATGATTTACAAAGACAAATAAAAGAACACTATAGCAAGTTATTAAGACGAAAAACAACGCCAGTACCTAGAATCTATACTTCAAGACCATTGTGTATTATTTGTGAAGTTGATATGGAATATTCATCAACAAGGTCTTGGTATTTTCCGATGAACTTTTTTTTTAGAAAAAGGACGAGACGTTCTTTGGCATACACCTGCTTCATCAACTTTCTGCTCAAACACTGGTGACGTATTACAAAATCTGAGTAGTACATGTAGTACCGGCAAGCTCTTGGATACCGAATGAGTGTATATCCCATATGCAGGTGAAGTTGGTATATTGCTTCTAAGGTGGGGGAAATTGATAATTTCAAAATTAAAATCGTCTCGTTTGTCATCGATTTTGGTACTGAGATGACCGCTTATGTCAAACTCGAGATATAAGTCTAAACATGAGACAGAGAAAGACATGTCTGTTGTTTCTTTAATTTCTAGTTCTGAATGATATATTAATGGAACTTTATCAGAAAAGTTTGGATTGTTAATGGAACGAACATCATCAATATATCTGAATGTGAAATTAAATGATCAGGCTTCTTTGATCTTCTTGTTTTTGACAAGTGACTGGAGTCACTGCGACTCATATGAAAATAAGAAGACGTCTGCTAGGAGAGGCGCGCAGTTCGTTCCCATAGAAATGCCGACAATTTGTTGAAATAATCTACCTCCAAATTCAACAAATATAATGTCAATAATAAACTCCAGCATAATCATCAATTGTTCCTCTGTGTAGCATGCTTTACCATTTTGTTCACTATTAACAAAATAAATCCGTATGGAATCCCCAAAGTAATAAATTTATAGCGTATGCTACCAGTTTTATGTTGAACAGCACTGTGGATTATTTCTTTTAGACTATTTTTCAATTTCACATGGTCTGGGGAAAGGTGGTATAAAGGGTTGAAAAATCTAATGTTTTGATAGAACTAATTTCTTTTCGCTGATGAACAGTTAACATGGTTAAGGTTATTAAGTATACATCAAATACAGTAGAGCTATGTTTGCCCGTGAATGTCGAATGAGCATAATGATTTTGGTTAAGCTGCTCTCGGCGTGCAGTAGTTAAACGATTGAATAAAATAGATGGCATTTGCCGATGATCATTGTACACATATGAAACGATTTTAGATTACAACACGATATCCTTGTATTTCGACATACTTCGCCTTTTTTTTGTTGTTAAAACAATCAGTATAATTATGAGTGCACCTTTCAAATTGTATTCACGGAAAACAATGAAGTGCTAGCTAATGAGTTGGCAATACCTTCAGGAACTAACATTCCAACAGCAGAAGGCCGTGCCTTTTTTTAAAATTCCTTTCTATCTGTATCTGCTTCTTTTATTTTTCCCCATTAGAGTATTCATCAAGTACGACGATGTTCTACGTCGAAGGAAGGAATACTGCTCCAGATACTACTTCAGATTGGGCAACAAACACAGTACTTCTAAAAGAAGGTGATGATAAGAGTATATGTTTATAAATTGATCTGATCAAATGTTCTTTACGGAACAATTTGTTTTTATTGATATTTTGTCATGCAACATATACACTGCAATTAAAACGTGCGTTACCTTCAAGCAGAACATTTTATTTTGCCAAGTTTATACTCATTAACATGGTTTGGAAAAGACTTTGATGTTACAAAATTTTTAGTTTGTTCGTTAAGACTAACTTATAAATAGGGAACTTTACGTATTTAATCAAACATACTGTTTGGCAGCATTTAAAGGCATTTCATGGACGCCTCAGATGTGACGAAACATCCAAAAGGGCTGTACAGGAAGCATTTGTAAATACTTAATTGTGTGAAGCACATTGAACTTAAGTTTAAAAAGAACAAAAATTAACCATTTGGCTTGTTTTATGATGTCCGGACATAACGACTGTAGATAGAAAATAGTTCTTTAATTTTCATTTACGATTTACGAAATGAATCATATCTCCAAAAGTCATTTTATACATCGACTTAAAACACTTTTCATAAAAAAAAGTATTGGGACCAAATCAGGCTTCTCCTTTCAGGTTTATATTGCATATTTTTTTTCCTTGTTCGTCTCAGTGGTGTTTTTATAGATTATCGTTGATCATCTCCACAAGATTGATTTTCTCTCTTGAGCCGGTACGGCGAAAGTGAGAAAAGCAATCGAGATGAGATGACCAATGATAATCTGTTTATCGCTATTTTACCTATGACGACGTTGTTAATTTCATTGACAATGGCACATGCATTCTTAGTTTCTAGCGATAATTTTTCATATCACTCTACTGTGCTGAGAAAGGAAATTATCAGTCAGTAAGATCAAAGGAAAATTTTGTAAAATAGCGATAATAGATCATATTTGTCCAAGAGTGTTATATCATGTTGATGTTAATAAAAAAAAAAATCTGTTTATGTAATTTTCTTTCAGATAATCGTTGTACATGTAATTCGACACCGAATTATGAGTATTGGAAGGTATCAGGTGGTTTCTTAGGAGGATTTTTTGTATGCTTAATCTGTTCAAATATATATTATTACCTCAAACGTAAGAAAGCATCAAATGACATATTCGAAGTTCAAAGGGAGGTTCAGTATGATGGAATAGGCACCATTAACTATAATGTTGTTAATATCGAAACATTGCGTGACGATATAAGAGATAGAATGTCTGTAATTCATTTGTCTGGGATCAATATCGAAACCAGTTCTGCTAAATCACAAACTTCAAGCTACAGTTCTACCATAGATTCATTATCAAGAAAAACAGAAGGATCTGAAAATACATACGAATCAATAAACCTCGATCAAGATAATACTCAGGAATATAGAAAGAGTGCTGGAAACACTATAACATCATCTAGTTTCTATGACATTGATAAAAGTTCTACCAAATCACAAACCTCAAACGACAGTTCTACCAATGATTCATTATCAAGGAAAACAGAAGGATCTGAAAATACATACGAATCAATAAACCTCGATCAAAATCATACTCAGGAATTTAAAAAATGTGAAGTTAGTACCACAACTTTAACTAGCTTATATGACAATACTTTGTTTTTTCAAAAAAGTCAAAAAATGAAAGGTGATCCAGATGATAAAACCCCATGGCTATTTATTTACAACCGCATAGAAAATTAGATAAAAGTAATCACCAATCGATTAACATGTACAAGAAGAGCAAAAAAACCTTTAATTATGTAAATTTGTTATTTTGATATCAATGAAGGTCTCGATATGGAAGTTAACGAGGAGGAAAACACATCAAAAGGGGGAAACTTTCATGTTGTTCTCATGCAGGCGGTGTTAATTTCTCATTCATTTGTGATTCCAAAACCCTTATTCAATACATACAATTTAGGTGAAGTGGTGCTTAATAAAGCCATACAATTTACGCATTGCCAAGTACTTTGTTTATTAAAGTTTGTCTGCTTTTATGATGACAAAGAATTCTGTAAAGCTAACAACTATTGGTCAAATAAGAAACACCAGTGACTTCATACAGGAACTTCTTAGGAAGAAAGATAAGAAGTTAGCAATATCCTTTAACTCTACGTTCCGCTATATAGATGATGTTCTCTCACTAAATAATACAAAATTTGGTGACTATGTTGAACGAATCTATCCCATCGAACTAGAGATAAAGGATACTACAGATACAGTTAAGTCTGCCTCATATCTTGACTTACATCTAGAAATTGACAATGAGAGTCGGTTGAAAACAAAACTTTACGACAAAAGAGATGATTTCAGCTTCCCAATTGTGGACTTTCCATTTCTATGTAGCACATTCCAGCAGCGCCTGCATACGGAGTATATATCTCCCAATTGATACGATATTCCCGGGCTTGTGTTTCCTATCATGATTTCCTTGATAGAGGATTGCTGCTCACAAGGAAGCTATTAAGCCAAGAGTTCCAAATGGTGAAGTTGAAATCATCCCTTCGTAAATTTTACGGACGCCATCACGAGTTGGTTGACCGTTATGGAATAACCGTTTCACAGATGATATCGGATATGTTCCTTATGTCGTAACTACAATACCCTTCCCTTTTCACGAATGTGACTTACCGAATTAGACTATTTACCGGATTTGTAATAACATAAGCAACACGACGGGTGCCACAAGTGGAGCAGGATCTGCTTACCCTTTCGGAGCACCTGATATCACCCCCAGTTTTTGGTGGGGTCCGTGTTGCTAAGTCTTTAGTTTTCTATGTTGTGTCATCTGTACTATTATTTGTCTGTTTGTCTTTTTATTTTTGGCCATGGCGTTGTCAGTTTGTTTACGATCTATGAGTTTGACTGTCCCTCTGGTATCTTTCGTCCCTCTTTTATCGATGTGCAAGTCTTATATTTCTATTTAGAATGAATAAATCAAGATACAATTAGCACCTTCCAGGTACCTCTCTTGCAAACCTGGTAAAATATGCAATATTTAAATAAGCTTTAGTGGCAGCTATCATTTAAAGTATTGTGAACAGGTTGATTACTTCAGATTAAGTTATGTTCCTATTTTCGTAGGCCAATTTAGCTGTTCAGAGATTCTTTGTGTCTAGTACAATTCTCAAGACAACAGCCCAAAAGGGCAGAACAAAGAGGTTATAATTAAGAATGGTTATAAAATGGCAATAGCTCCTACAGTCTTTTATAGGTGTAAGCTTCAATAAAATGAGAAAGAGTAAATGAATTTATCATAGATACAAAAATTGACATTTTGTACGTAAGACGCGCGTTTCGTATAAAAATGTTTAATTCAATGACGCTCAAATAAAAACGGTTAAATAGGCCAAATGGTGTATGCTGTATGACATGCCGAATGCCGAATTTTTATTTTAATTTGTTTTATAAAAGATATATTGAAATATACAATTCCCACAAACTGGATGCATTGTTGGTAAATCTGAATGGTTAAGATCAGATATTATTTTTAAGGAATCTGTTTATTTATCTTATTATTTGAACGTTTTTTACTATATTTAAGTTTATCTATTGGCTACACAATTCGATGTTTTATTTTGTGGTGCTTTAATGTAAAATGATATTAAAGTTTCTTATTACTTTACTATGTGTTTCATTTATTACAGCAAATATGTAACCACTGTATCTTTATGTATAATATCGTATATAATTATTGAATGTAAAACTGTAGCACTGAATACAAAACCAAACAAATACAACAAAAAACAAAAACAAAACATAAACGAACGCTAGCAACAACCAGAAAAAGAGGAAAATGTGCTCTACAAAACTTGGATCGCTCAATTGTACCTTTGCCCAATATGAACATTACATCTGAATAACCTTTGTTAAACTTGTTTAATCTCCTTAAGTTCAGAAACAGTAAATTGTTTCACATTTGTCATGTTGGAGCATTTTATAACCAACCATACGGTATGGGGTTTTTTTCAATTTCGACGGACGTACAGTTGTCTTTAATTGCTTACATCCATGACACAAGTCAGGAATATGACAGTTGTTATCCATTCGTTTGATGTGTTTGAACATTTGATTTTGCCATTTGATTAGGGACTTTCCCTGTTGAATTTTCCTTTCAGTTCGGTATTTTTGTGATTTTACTTTTTATTTGAACTTTGTTGGATAGTTGTCTGATTGGCAATCATACCACATCTTGTTTCTATATCTGGTCCTTAACAGTTTTTTTCTGATATTTTTTATTCACAATGGCTTTCTAAAGTTCATTACGGTTTATCATAAAATATGTGACTCAATCGTCCTGTGTCAGTACATTCCTGATGATTTAGAGATATAATGCAAAATCCCTTTTACTATAGGGTTTGAATATTTAACACTTTAAGAGTAAGAATGTTTTGTTGCTTCAATTCCCCAATTAGAGTACGATATAATAACGTTTGATGGACATGCCATTTGGGTATGTTTGATTCAAGCAGCCAAGTAGTTTTATTGGACTGAATAAATTGATTTGATTTATTTGGGTAACAAGGGATACAAATACATATGAAAAAAAAACACGAAATAGTATCGATGAAAGGTGCATAGATACGGATAAAGCAAATAACTCTTACTTGATTGTTTGTGTTTTAATAATGCTGTTGCAGTAATATGTTCATTGAATTTGAACTTGTAAAATTGATTGAAGGTCGCCTGATGGCTAGCATGACATTACCTGTTTGTCAGAAAGTAATACAATCCAAGCAGTCAACGCAGAGATGAACAATGTGAAACGAAAAAAAAATCATGCAACTTCTGTTATCAGTTCCAGTAACTTGTTTACAAAAGAGTCAATACAATTCACACATTTTACTTATACTGCGAGTGAAAATAGCATAAATTTACCCTATCAATCTAACGAAGAATATATCTACCCTAAGTTTCTTATTGTATTGCATTCTTAATTAAGGCGACAGTAGTTGACATATTTCGTCCATTAACTAGGATTAGGAAAGGGACAAATAAAACTAACAAAGACAAACTAAGGATGAACTTTTAAAGGAGCGAGACCGGGTGCGTCAACAAGGTGAGCGGCTCCAGCGACGCAACGAATAAATCACCCGTCATGTGAATTCAGTTACAAAATGATACAATCGATAAGATGCCTAAAACACAATCGATAAAATTACATTTCAAACAGCTTTCAAAGCTGCAGTTCGGATATTATGGTCTATGAATTGTTTTGTGAATCGTTTTGCCTTTTTTCATGTCTAGACTTGGTGACGTTTGACTTTCGATTTACAGCTTCTTGCTTTTCTAAATATAAATTAAAAAGACTATGATAACAAAAACAATTAGTAAAGCTTGTCATACATGTTCGAAGTATCCGAATTAATGTTGGATCAAATCATAATCAACTTCTTGTCATTGGGTGATGATAATTTAACGAGTACACAAATGATAATTAACACTATTGGTAACAGACAAAGGTTCAAAAACCTATAAAGACTGTATGGTCGAATTACAAATACTAGCAGGAGATAAGCTTAAAAAGCTTTCAAAGCTGTAGTTCGGTTATTATGGTCTATGATTTTTTTTGTGAACCGTTTTGCCTTTTTTCATGTCTAGACTTGGTGACGTTTGACTTTCGATTTACAGCTTCTTGCTTTTGGAAAATTTTCTAAATATAAATAAAAAAAAAACTATGTTAACAAAAACAATTAGTAAACCTTGTCATACATGTTCGAATTAATGTTGGATCAAATCATAATCAACTTTTTGTCACCGTGCGATGATAATTTAACGAGTACACAAATGATGACTAACACTATTAGTAAAAGACAAAGGTTAAAAAGGCTATAAAGAGTGTACAGTCGAATTACAAATACCAGCAGGAGATTAGCAACTTGTTAGAAGACCAGTCATCTGATATCATACAGTTGAAAGCAATATAAAAAGAAGAAGAAATGGTTTCATTGCCAGTGAGATAACTCTTCACTAGAAATCTAGACCACATGACGTAGAAGTTTGCAACTATAAGTCAACGTACGACCTTAAACAATGAAAACCTTACGGCCTGATTCATGTTAACAACAAAAGACGAAAAACCAATATGACATGCATATAAATAACACTTGTATGGATTTTGTGTTTACGTCTATTGAACTTAATTACTTCCTAAGTTGTAAATGCAAAATAATGTCACAAAATTACCATTACACGGAAATTAGATACTATGAATTTGTATAAAATCGAGTATAAAATTAAACTGCACCTTGAATCTGCCATTACATTTATAAAAACATAAATATTATGATGTATTGTGTGTGCAAGCAACGAGAGGAAGATACCTTGATGGTAAAGTGCTCAACATAATAAGAAATAATTTTAATTTATATGCATGCTTTTATATCATTTATCTCCCGTGTCTAAAATGTAGAAAATTAATCTAATGTTTTTTTTCAAACATCAATATATATGATTAGGCTTTTTTTTAAAGATCAATACATATAACAAATTCCATTTGAATATATTTGTTTATCAATTTACGTGATTTATTGTCATCGCTATTTATAATATTAAAATCAAAAACACACTCAATGATACTTTTTGGTTCTTTCAATTTATATTTAAAATTTGGGCATTACAATGAAAATGTAAAATATATAGAGCAAAAACACTTTATGATACACACTTTGTGATAGTGGAGAAAAAAGGGAAAGAGTGTAAACATTTATGACACACAATCACAATTGACTGCTTAGTGATCTCGTGGTAGCTTGTTTGCCTCGAGTGAGGTAGGGCATATGTTACAATCTGGATGGGTCAAGACAAAGACTTTTTTGTATTTACTGATTATTCGCTTAACATGCGTCATTAAGGACTAAGAGCAAAGACTGGTTGGCTCGGAATCAGTATAATGTGTCCGGAAAGAGGTTATATTTGTCTTCCTGCCAACCTTGTAAACTAACAAGGTGGAGATGCGGCTCAGTGTGTCAGTCTATTACAAAGCAGGGTAATGTTCGGTGGTTGTCGTTTGTTGATGTGGTTCATAAGTGTTTCTCGTTTTTTATATAGATTAGACCGTTGGTTTTCCTGTTTGAATGGTTTTACACTAGTCATTTTGGGGCCCTTTATAGCTTGCTGTTCGGTGTGAGCCAAGGCTCCGTGTTGAAGGCCGTTCTTTGACCTATGATGGTTTACTTTTACAAATTGTGATGGAGAGTTGTCTCATTGGCACTCATACCACATCTTCTTATATCTAAGTATTAATATTACGGCAACATGTAATCGTCCTGATATGCATTTTATTTGTCACTGGCTGTTAAGCAGCCATCCATAATCATCAAAATCGCAACAACAGATAAAAAATTAGCAGGAAAGAACGGCACTTTTTATATAGATATTGAATAAGGAGCCCAAACTGTCTCTTTTCTACTAATTCAGAAATAATTATAATTATATTACTCTTAAAAGTATTCAATCAATAACTAATGCAAATATTATGTTTATCATAAAAGAGAGGTGAAAGATACCAAAGGGACATTTAAATTCATAAATCAAAAGTAAATTGACAATGGCATGGCTTAAAAAGAAAAAGACAAACAGACAAAGAATAGTACTCAAAACACAAGATTGAAAACTAAAGACTGTGCAACACGAATTCCATAAACAAATCGGGAGTGACCTAAATTGCTCCGAAAGGGTATGCAGATCCTGCTCCACATGTGGCACCCGTCGTGTTGCTCATGTCAGTACAAACCCGGTAATATGTCTAATTCGGAGGGTCACATTCGGGGAAAAGGGGACGGGATTGCAGTAACGCGTTTGGAACGATTAAGTTTTTATTACAGCTAGTTTAGAACATAGCATTTTTTTTATATTCCTTTTATCTAAACAGCTTCACGTATATTTGAAAACCTATGCTTTTATCAGCAAGTCAATTTCAGCCTTTAGAAAGAAATTTGTAAATGATGAACACACAAGCAGAAACTAAACAATATTTAATTTGTTCTTAAAGCCTGAGCCATAACTGATCAAGTTTTTGCAGCTTCAAAAGCAATCTTAATCAGAACAGCTATCTGTTTTCTAGTCGAAACATTGTATATCAAATTTTCAGGTTTATGATTTGTATATCCAATACTGTTAATCTGCGTATTTTAGCAGATCTTTTGTTTTTTCTGTTCGTTTTTATCTTTTCTCATCGATTTTGCTTCTACTAATTTAAGCAATTTCTATACTTTTTTTTTGTCTTGAAAAAAAATATGTTAGCAAAAAAAGTTAGTTACATACTATGGTTGCCGGTCGTATCCCTTTAATTTCAAATTACAACTCAAAAGGTATAAAATGGAAATATTCATTTACAAAAATGGTTTTATTGGTGTATTATGTAATTATACATTTATACAAATGACTTGCAACTGCAATATCTTTAAAGATAGGATCCTTATCTCTTCTGATAACTTGCTCCTTAAATAGAAAAGAACAACTGATGAAAACTTTTCGAAAAAAGGAAAAGGAAACCATGAAACGAAAAAAGCACAGAATGCAACACTGACGTATTAAAGTTAGAGCATCTGGTGAAATATCATGAAATGTATAGGAAAAGTGAAAGTTTTTAGTGAAAGTTCGATCACTCCTTAATGAAAAAAA